TTTTGCACTCCTAAAGGCAGGCAGGCGCCTTTAAAGCTAGCACGGATATCGAGGGTCGGGTGAAAAGATATGGTCAGCTTAAAGGATTGGTATGATTAATATAATTAGACTAGATAACTGGTATTGTCTTGAAATAACATAAATAAAGACTGTTTCAAATACTCATCGTTTGAGTAAATTTCTTAAACAAAAACTGAAGTAACCTTTATAATCAATACCCGAATAAGAAATTATCTTTATCTGTAGCCTCTTTAAATTCCTTTTTAAACAGAATATGAAAAACACTTGTTTTATTTTCAGTGGTTCTCTCTTAAATAGATGTAGTGCTAAAAGGAAACTTTTTAACCCAAGAATTTATTGGTTAACCCACTGCGTAACTTTTTGCGATCCTTCCTTCGGCAAATGCAATTGAGGCAACGCCAAACTGAGTTTTGATTGAAATATTGATGGCAATTTTAGCATAGTTTGAATACTCGCCCGACTCGGAGCCCGAACCAGGTGACTTTACCAACCGTTTTTCAGGTGCCAGCAAGTGTGCGAGGAGCAGGTGTAAGCTGTGGGTGTGCGTGGGTGGCTGACTAGTGGGTGAGAGTATCCAACGACCTTTTCAATGGACTCTCAACAACTTATGACAGCCTGCCTTATTATGACTGTCACGGCTGTCAGGGAGGAACCCTTTTTCCCTCGGACCGCACTTCGAATATATTTTCATTACGCCGGGGCCCTCTCGCATTGTGTTTCCCGCTCCGAAGTCTTTAAGCGATTTTCTATTTGTTTTTCCGAGACCCCACCCCCACCCCAACTGCGCTCACTTTTGACAGGTCAGACAGTTCAGGTGTAAAATAGTTCGCCACGTCAGGCGGCTGCGTTTTCAGTTGCCTATCTCTTTTCACGCTCTGCCGCTTATTGATTTTCCAACACCTTCTGCTTCTTTATGGACGTCGGGAACAATCAGTCTGACGTCTTGACTTTAAGAACCCCGAGCCCACGCGGTCAGCTATTCGGAAAATGGAGGTAGGTCCGCTTTCCTCTCTCCTCTGTTTTTCATTATTTCCCATCATCCCTTTGCCTTTGATGTGGACCTGACTAGGGCTTTGCATCAAGTCATTGATTTTGAGATCCTAAGACAAGGTGAGACGGTGTCCTCTTTTCTTTTAAAATCCTCTCTTTTTACAAATCATTTTGTCTAATTACTTTGGGACTCGGCGCTGACCTTTCTGCAGTGGCCAGATGTGACTGGCCAAAAGGCTGAAATGTACAGGCGGCAAAATGCTAGATAAATCTATTAAAATTTATTTCAAAAGCGGAATGGAAAGGGTATTCAGATTTAGGGAGGAAAACAACAATAGAAACGTATAGATAATACTTAAAGAAATATTTATTTCAGATTCTAAGTATTTCTTTAATACCTAATATTTAAATACAGCTGTGTTCACTGAAATAGCAGTGCGACAGAGGAACAACTTCAAAACGTTTTTTTGTACATATTCCTTTTTGCAAGCTGATCTATTGCACATTGTTTTTGTAAAATGGAACATAAAGATAAGAATCGAGAAAAAATTCCGTTAGATTTGCTCTATTTTTATGTTTTATTGATATTTTTCACATATGCAGCTCGTTTTGGTCGATCACTGAAATAGCAGTTTTTAATTTTCTTTCGCAAAAAGTGCCGAAATTTCTTTTAATTTTGTAAAAAATGACTTTAATTAAGGTCGTTATTATAGTTTATACTATAATACACCTTTACAACGCAAAAAAAAATATTTTAGTGGGCGCAGGACCTTACTGCTCCATGAGAGAAAGGTATCAGATTACTTAGCCTAGAAAGAAGAGCAAAACATGTAAAGAGTCTCTAAATCTTTCAAATTGTTCTTTTAAAATAGTTTATAAGTCATAAAATATGAACCGAACCCAAAAAAACCGAGGTACGATTCGCAAAACCACAATTATACAGGCTCGACGCGTACTTCGCTTCAGCAAAGCTCGTCCTTATGCATCCTCTAGGGATATATGAGCGGGAATTGGCATAGGAATCAGTCATGGGACCATTCGCCGGGGACTTATTGAATAAATTTTAGATTCGCGAAGTCCATGGAAAATGTCACTGCTTGGTTACAGGCATATCAAGGCCAGATCCGAGTTCGCCAATAGCCACTTGAACTGCCACTATTCAAATGGCGTAATATCCTTTGGACAACTGACTCCAAACTGGTTTTATTTGGTGGAATAGGACAAGACAAGACCTCCAAATAGATAGTGCCCCCCAAACCATACGCTGAAGACAGTAAAAAACGATGGCCTAAAAATCATGGTTTGGGTATACTTTTCATACAACGTTTTAGGTCCCGTATATATGATCTGTGGGATCAAAGACCATTATGTTTATGTCCAAATATTAAAAACTGTCTTGCAGCCGTATCCTGAGGAAAATATTCCATTAATTTGCGCATTTCAGCAGTACAGTGACCCTAATCATACCAGCAAGGTGGCCAAGGAGTGGGTTCTTAATGGAAAAGTGGATGCAATGCCATGGCCTGCGCAGTCCCCGGATATAAATTCGATCGAAAACTTATGGGGGACATCAAGGGCGACGTATTAGAGAAGTTTCCGACTTCTAAGCCGCATCTTTGGCGATTTGTGCAGGAGGAATGAGACCATAATCCCCTCAAGCGTTGCTAAGACTTGGTGGACTCCTTGCCACCAAGGTATGAGGCTATGATAGCTTCTAAAGGCTATTTAACAAAATATTAGATCATAGTCAATTAGAATTTAAGAAGAAACAGGTTTCTTATACGATATTTTTAAATTTATGAAGAATTTTAGTTTTTCACTGCTATTTCAATGAACGGCATAATATAGACCTTTTTTGTTGTTATTAGCTATATCTTCTAAAGGGTTTATGTTACCTAAATTAAATGATTGTGGTATTGTTAATAATTAAATATACTAAGCTTTTATGAAAAAAAAATTTATGAAAATAGTGTTTGTAACAGGATTTTCCGATCTTAAACGTGCAGGTCGTTGGGCACTGCTATTTCCGTGAACACAGCTGTATATAAATTAAATGTATTATTCCTTCCATTATTTTCCAATTTAAATTCAAATTATCCCTCGATTATGCACACATCCCTTCCATATCAAGGATCCCATCAAATATCAGCCTGTCTCAGACGTTCGGAGACAAAAGTTCAGTGCTCAGTTTCAAATCCTCTAACTGATAGCAACAGTTGGGAAACTTTGTAGACATTAAATCGTTCCAAATATTGCCAAAAGGTGAAAAGAAAAACAACGACCTCTTCGCCCACGAAAATCTCCCCAAATCCCCAGTGACAAAACGAGGAAAAAACTTGCCAGCGTGATAAGGAACCCTTGGCTCATGCTGCTCTCGATATCGCATCGGAGTCTCCCCCTTCTTTATTAAGTCAACAATTTGATATGCATTTTTTGTTTTTGTAAATACTTGCATTACATTACCCCCTATCTCGGTGTGGGCTTTGGAATTTTCAAAGTTACGCTAAGCTTTCGGCGCTGCAACTTTTGACAGCGTTTGATTGAATGTTTGGCAACGACATCGGGGATTAACGGAGAGGCCTGCCGGGCGGTTATCTGGGACCGAGGTCCGCTGGGGCCACCGCGACAGTCTGTAATGGACAGAGTTGGCCCTAATTGGAGTTGGAACTTGCCCGGAAGGTGGGGGCCATGTGGATGGAAGGTGTGGATGGAAACCGTATCGAGTGTGGAGTATTTTTACTTGAGCAGCATCACCAGGCGAGTCAATCTAGCCATCCCCGTTATTGCGTCCACAAAGGAACATATCCAGAGCTTTTTTTTACATTAATAAATTAAATCTTGAATACAATTAAGACACTTTATTAATTAAATAATTAATAATTATTTAATTTTAATTTTTTTTGTCATTTATAGTAGTAATTTATTCATTATTTTACTAAATTAACTCTTTTTTCCAAATTAAACTAAAAGATAGCCAATATATTAAATTCTTTAAATATTACATTAGTAACGCTGCCCAAGAAGTTCCCACCCACCGAAATTACCTTGTGTAAATGCTTATCAACAGGCAGCCGCCGTTCTCGCTCTCTTTTGCTCGCTCTTTCCGTCCACACTCTTATGACCCGCTCTCTTTGCCTGCACAAGCAACAGTGCGTGTTCCAGTTTCCACACCGTTCCGTCTTATACGCCTCATGAAGAGAGACCAAAGAGAGCCTTGGCCCCCCTGGTGGAGTTATTACAAAGTAACGTTCAGCTTGTTTTGTTTGTGTGGGCGGTGGGTGGTGGGCGGGGGTGGAGATTCCAGACTGCAATCAATAATTTTAAATATTTAATGCTACTGCAGGTGAGAGTGGCTCACTGGAGTCTTTTCTCTACACTCTGGCGGCATTTTTTCCCACTGGCTCTCTATGTTTAGTTTAATGTCTTAAGGTTTAATTTGGAGTTAACACAATTAATTGTGTGTATGGAGTTGGAGTCGCATTAAGAAACAGGGATTTCGGACTCACCTGGGCCAGCAACAACCTGCACGCTCTCCCAATCCGAATGCGTTCCACAAGTGCTCTTCGCTTCTGGCTGCCGCTCTTTGACCTTCGTTGAGTTGCGCGCTAACGGTAAAGGAGGCGCACTCTTTGCCCTGCCGGCGCTGCTCTCCGCTCTCTTCGCGGCGGCAGGAAACGTCGCGCAAGGAAATCGCAAATGTTCCACGTCCACTTTCGTGTGTGTCCTACGGGGCTGGTGTGCGTGTGTGTGGGTGTGGATGACATTGTGGCGCTCGTTGGGGCAGCTCCAATTGTCGGTTCAGTAGTCGTTGCGAAACTTTTGCTGGAGTAACGTGTCGCGCAATTGGCCCCATCGCTCATCTGTTATCGGTTATCGGTTATCGGTTATCGGACATCGGACATCGATTATCTGTTATCGAGCATCGACTATCTTTTATCAATTATCGTTTGGCTAGTGTGTGGCAAGGGAAACAGGGGCCACCGAGAACATCAGTCGGATAACGGCAAGAATCTCCGGGAGATTCTCACTAAAAGTTCAGGTGAGTCCAGGACCCCTTCCCACCCCCTACGTTGGAGTTTTCCCACCCGCATTAACCGCCGGCAACCCAGAAAGTTGGCCGTTAACTCGGTTAGATTAAGTTAAACGTTGCCCAATGTCAATTTCATTATGTGAAAATAAAAGTTGCGTGCGTTTTTTTTTTGTTTATATGTTTTTATATATTGTATATTTGTTTGATAAATTCATTTAAAAAGTTTTTAAACCAATTGGGAACCAATTTAAACCGATTTCAGTGAATTAAATGAGATATCATTGCTGTAAAATAATTTAAGTGGAAGTCAGGTACACCTAAAACAAAAAATATTGAATACATATGTATCTGAATTATAAATCATTCAGTGTATTTTATTTTATAAAGACTTGTTTTCAATCATTTTTCTGATTAATTCAGACTACTATTTATTATAGTTCACACTGATACAACAATACAAATTTGAATAATAGTTATTTCATTTTTTGAATTAAATTGAATTGAAATCCCACAGTCTCAGACAAATTTTTATGAGAACGGAATAGAAATAGGATAAATAAAATGAAAAATACTTGATATATGTAGGTGAATAAGTACATATATTTTTATACTCATATGCAAAAAACAAACCCTTTTAATATATTTTGCTTTGTATACAAAAATTGAAAGACCCCAGGCGGGGTTGACGAATGGTTTGTACGGGTTATATTGAGGTATTTCGATTTGTACCAAGCTTTAATGATACCTATAAAAAGCCAATAAACACCAAAGTTACATATTCAAGTCTTTGAAAAAGTCAACGGTATGGCCCGAGAGTTTCTATGACAAATAAAAGGTGGCTACTGGTCTGTACACATAAAACTCGAACAGAAACAAGTGAAACTGGAAGTTTAAGCCAGAATTTTGTAGCTAAAAACCGAGTTTACTTATAAGACTGATTTCTTGATCAACTCGTTTGGTGATGTTAAAAATAAATTTAAAATCTTGTTAATCAGAAACAATGCAAGTACTTTTTGGGACCACATCCATTGGGATTGAATTTATATTAACATACATATTTTATCTGTCATGAATAAATCTTAAGATTGACTTTAGTCCGCAGGGTATTAATAAAGCTATTAATTTGTAAAGCCCATCATTATTGTGTGTCTCTCAACCCGAACAAACTGATTAGCCTCAGCTATTCACAGTCCAACTGTTTACTTTGCCGAGGCCTTGGCTATATGCTAACTAAGGCCCTTAAGTGGCTGCCACTGCCAGCCATCGGATGATAAAGGCCCCGACTGTGGGCCAAGCAAATAACTATAGGGCTGAACGCCCGATTGAACCGATCACTACACATGGGCGTTCAAAGAGATAGCCTCCAATAAGCCGGAAAGTGAACGTGGGAAAGCCAGGTCGCAGTTCCGTTTTTATCGGCGGCCCACTACTAGCCACTCCCAGCACACTCGAGTGCATTTGCTTTTAATTAAAGGAGAGAGTGTGCGAGTAGAAGGCCAAAAGTGACTTTTGAAATGGTCAAGCAGATAAAACTGCAATAACTATAAAGCCGGCTGGGGGGGGTGAAATAAGTGTGCCAGTGGAAATGGAGGGTGGCGGCGGGCGAACCCAAACACGCACAAATTTGTTAAGCGGGTCACGTACTCCGGGAAAGCCCGCCCACCCCGCCGGGTGTTGTCATCAACACGAAAATAAAAATCGAAAATTAAACTTGAAACGCGCAAAATGGCTACAAATGCTGCCGGGCAGCCCACCTTCTCTCCCGTCCCAGCGAAAATCGATTTCAATAAACTTTAATTCGTTTTCTTTCTGAAGTCATCAATTGGAAGCCTTGAAAGTGACGCAACAAATTAAACGCCAATAATTTAAAACAATTGCCACTCAAAAATATCGAATAAATACAAAAAGGCAAACCTCAAGTGGGAGCGAGACAGGGTTTTGTTTATGGCTTTTAAATCTAATTAAATTCCCATAAAACGCGTGAGCGCAGCTAAGCCAGAATGAAATAAAAGTAAATAAATAAAAAATTATTTTTAACTTTAAACGGTCAGAACGAGAACAAAACGCGGTTAACGGTGGGATAAGACAGCGAGGGGCAAGGCGAAGTGGCAAACAAATTGGACCGACACCGCAGCCGAGGCAAACAGGCGCAGAACTGCGAACAGCCGGCGACAAAGGGTTAATGAATGCGTGTGACTGAGCGGTGGCGGAGATGGAGGCGGAGGCGGAGTCGGGGTCACGCAAATTGCCCTAATGACCTGCATTTTGCATTTGAACAGCGATTTATAAATTATTTAAAGGCAATTCACGTGGGTAGAGCGGTGTGAGAACTTTGCAACTGACATATGTCGCATGCAAAGCGCTAACAAAGCCCCCCAAACCTGTTCAATTTATGGTTCACCGACCACTCATCACTCAAAGCCTTATTCTCCATTCAAAAGCAGAGTGAGGGTCATCCGACCCTAATCGCTCGGCTACTTGGGGTTACCTTTTTGGCCAGCTTTTACTACCAATCTCTGAGCCTTTGTAAAAGTCTTGCTGGGTCCTAGCAACAAAAAATTATGAAGCCCAATGGTTTTCTTTATTTGTAAGGTTCCTAAATGATTACTTGAATCAATTCTTTCAGAGTTTTTCCTGGTCCTCAGACTACTTTCCCTTTAGAGGTATTTATAAATAGTATTAGGACGAGCTAAAAGTATTCTCCAGAATTTTTAAAGCTACTTAGAAATACTTCTAGAAACTTTGACGAAGTATCCTAAGAGTTAAAACGTTTCGGGTTTAGCTGAATTTTTGCACAGATCACAGATTACTTATCATTATTATTTGCCTTTGTTATTGTGGTTCGATATTATATATTTGAAACAAGTTCTGGAGCGATTCACTAAAGATCACCTGTGACGGCAGGTGGTGTCAATTGAGTCGGCACTGCTTTGCTTGAGAGAATTATTCACCGATTCCCGAGTCATTCAACCATAACGGCCCAATCACAGCAACCACACTCACACAAAGCTCTGATAAGAGCTGTGCGTCGGTGGGTCTCCATTTCAGATTCAGATTCAGAACCAAAATTCTGATTCGTGAAAAGCTTCGGCGGAGGAGAGCAAGCTCATTGCATGTGTTCTGGCATATATAACAAGTAAATTGCGCTAAATTTACTCAGTCTCATTTCGCGTGCGGGCACTGGGAAAGATGTCAGCGATCGCCATACGCGCCTTGACGCCGGACGACTTCGAGGAGGTCGAGGCCTTCCTTGCCGTGCACTTCTTCAAGCAGGAGCCGCTGATGCTGATCCCGCAGGCCGATCCCAACCAGAGCAAAGTAACACCGGCAGAATCGGAGCTGCACCGCTCCCTCTTGTCGCAGGGCCTGTCGCTGGCGGCCATCGATCGGAGCAGCGGTGACCGCATTGTGGGCGTGGTCTTGGCCGGTGAGATGGTGCCCGAGGACCTGGAGCGAGAGTTCCAGGAGGTCGAGCAGAAGGAGGTCAAGTGCCTGCTGGACAAGATCCACAAATTCCTGGCTGGCATCGAGAGACGGGCCAATATTTTCAAGCATTACGGCGTCGAGCGGGCCCTGTACCTCTACATGCTCGGCGTGGACACCTCTGTACGTCGCCAGGGAGTCGGATCCCGGCTGGTGGCCGCCACTATCGAGTTGGGCCGCGAGCGGGGCTACCCTGTGATGGCCTCCACCTGCACCAACCTTCACTCCACGCGCCTCATGACCGCCCTGCATATGGAGTGTGTGCTCTCGCAGAATTACGCAGACTACAAGGACGAGCGAGGCGAAGTCATCCTGCGGCCAGGAGAACCGCATACCAAGGCCAGTGTCGTGGGCATTCGACTGTAAAGACAGCAGGGCAACGCACCAAAGAAACCACATAGCTAAGTAGGCAATGGAATGGAGGGTTGATAGAGGGTTTTAATTTAAGAGAGCAAAGTTAATTCCTAGCACAAAGAATAAACTTGTTAGTGGTAATATTTTCTTTAGTAAAGGTGCTATGCATTATCAGTAATAGACAATTTTTTTAGAATTTAATACTACAAGACTTCTTCTTATCTGGGGCAATGATTGATATACCGCAGCTTTTGACTAGGGCAACACCAACTACACTTGTTGAGAGCTTTGCTTATCTCTTAATATTGTGTTTTTTAAAAGAATTGCTTGGCAAAATGTTAAAAATTTAAATAGGAGCAGAATTTACTAATGAAGGCTTCAGAAAAAATATAATGATAATAATGAAAATATATCAAGAAAATTATAAATAAATTTGTATTCTTAAAGTTTGTATATAACCAAGCAAGCATCCTAATACCATTTATATTCAATGTTAATTTTTCATTTTAGCTACATAATTATCAGTGCATATCGCACGTTTTCTCTAAATTCATTAACTTTAACCTGCCAACTTTAACGCTTCAAGTACTAACTGAGAACTTTTCCGAGTCGAAGCCACCCCCATTAACTTGGCCTTGATGCGGAGCCTCTGTATTTCATCTTTCTTTATGGGGCAATCGCAACGCTGTCGGCATCGTGCTTGTTTTGTCTTTGTTGTTCTGCTTTTCGTACTAAAACTAATTGTTATTTTATTGTGTTTGTAATCCAATCCACGCCAACCGCATGCGATACAAGCGAAAAAGTATCCGCAAGATACACACATGCGTGGGAGCACCCCCCGTCGTCGTCGTCGTTGCCGTTCCCTTGACTTTGCCTTGCTTTTGGAAAAGCCCTGATTACGTAACAGATGTGTTTTAGTTAATGTTAGCGGAAGAAAGCTTTCTTTTTGCTCACTATCGAGGAACAACAGCAAAGAGCTTTCCTAAAGTGATCGAGCAAGAGAGAAATAAAACTGAAAGCTAAATGATATTCAGAATAATGATTATGCTCTTTGATAATATCACTGATATGGTAAAATATTTCTAGTGGGCTAGGAAAGATATAAATCTATCTTAGGGACTTACATTAAAGATTGTAAAATTATGAAGGTTGATAGAAAAATTTGAAGTACAGAAAAATATATTTCTTATTTTACATATCAAAAGTTCCTCCTTTTCCCCAACTTTTGTCCGATAAATAACAAACAGGAATGTCAAAAATGAGCTGCTCCCCAAAAAGCAAACAATACTATTATGTACATATATACAGACCGGTTGAAGAAGATCAAAAATATTGGAAAGGGCCCTGGGGATGGACTCTGTCTGACTGGCTGCAAATCGTCCGAAACCGTCCAGAAACCAACATAATTTACATGTCTGCAGGATAGGTTCAACTGAGAGCCAGGAAGGCACAGGACATTTGGCAGAGTGGTCGAGGGGGCTGTCTGGAGCTTATGTTCGGCATGTTATGCCAGACCAGAAACAGTTGTTGCTTTCCCTCTGGCCGAGACAGACGCTTGAAAGCCCAAATAAGAGCGCCCAGTTCCCGGGCTTCCAAGCTAAAAATTTAAGATTGTTATGCAGTTTAATTTTTGCGGCAGTTGATATGAAAATTTTAATAACATTCCGTTGACAAAGTGCCCAAAATTATGCACCAAAAATTAGGTGGAAAGGCACAAAAAAAAGAAGAGCAAGCCGCAGGTATGACAGAGTCCATAAACTCACACTCACCCGCAGAGTACAGTGTGCTGCGGCTATGTGAACCCAAAATATTTGCAAGGTCCTCGCAGTTTCAGGTGCCCAGGACCATCTACGATATTTGCTCTAGTGAATTTTTGATTTATGCCAGCAGAGCGTGACCTAAAATTCCGTGTTCGCACACTGCCAAACTAATTAAAAGTGAAAAGTTGACAACATTTTCTAGTTGAATTTTTGATTTATGGCGCGCAGTTGCCTACCGCAGCGAAAAATTTAATGAAAATTCAATCAAAGTTTGCGGCACTCTCCGGGCAGACGGCCGGGGAAAGTGTTGGGGCATTGCAACATATGGCTGGCCAGATGCCCCAGGCCCGGTCTCCGTCCATTTTGTTATTGTCCAAGTTGCCCTAATGAAGATTAATTTAGAACAAGTGCTACTCTCTGCCTGAGCGTGAGTGCGGCTGATTGTCTATTAAAAAGTTGACTATCAACTGACCAAGACAGAATCATATCTAGCGACTATGCAATACCATTTAACCACAAAAAGTGCTATATGAATTTATAAATTTATAAAGTTTTAGCCAACTATGTAGAAAGACAGACAAAACAAGATAAATTATACCTCATGAGGTTCCAAAGGATTTATTACCTTTGCTACTAAATTTCAAGAAAAACCATATACCTCTCTCTGCCTCTATTATAGGGTATACAAAGAGAATCCTCCTTAAGCAACGCACCAACTAAAATGTTCAAAGAACCGACTGATTTCAGAGATAATAGAGATATGAAGATGACGACAGTGTCTCGGCAACGACTAAATCTGGGAAAGAAAGCAATTTAAGTCAATTAAATTGTTAGTGACTATTTTTAGAAACTATTGGCATACGTTTTATGTATTTAATATGTGAATATTTTTCTTAAATTGTGTATTCTCGAGTGAAACTAAAATAGGTTCTTATTAATTATCAAATTTATCATTTTCAGTTCAGTCGAACTTAACCCAATGTACATTTACCTGCTATCAGAAATCAGAAACAGTTTTACGACAAGATTTCAGCTTCTTTTTTACCTCATAGCCTTTTTTGATTTTATCGGCAGGTAATTAATTTATAAAACAATTTCCAAAATGCAGCTCAATGGGGGGTGAGCGCTAGATTCATGAAACCCCTTCACTCAGAGCAACGAATTCTCCGAAGGGAATTTTGTGTTTTGTTAATTAGTCAAAAAATACACACAAAAATAGTCTGGCCCATGCATAATTAAGGCTATTTGAATATTTCACTAAGATACCGATTCCGATTAGGATTTCGTTTCGCTGCCTACACAATGTGTAACGCATTATGATAATTTCCGACTAACTAAGTTCAATTCAGCTTGTTTATCTGATTTTCTTCAAGTGGTTGGACCGCTTGAGTTGGCTTCTATTTTCTTTTCTCATCGTAGTTTGTTTTTTCCCCCCATTTCTGAATATTCATTTTCAAATTCAGCCTGGGGGGCCAAGCACTGTGATTAGGATGTTATTCAATCAGCGTTTAGGTTTGGGATATGTTTCTGATATTTAGTTACTTGGCTTAAAATTTATTTATATACAAATATATTGTATAAAAAAACTATCGCCACTAGCCGCCACACAGCAAATAAATTTGAAAATCGATTTGAAAACTAACAAAACAAAGTTGCAGAAACGAAAGGCAGAGACCTAAAAAAAAAAAGATATTAATACAAAATGATTTATGTGTCTGCTGCAGTGCGGTTCTGTCCAGTCTACCTCAGTGCCAGCTTGGCCTTGCCGAAACCCGAACCCACACTCGAGCTTGGTGCCTGCACTAGCCAACATGACTATGGCTATGGCTGTAGCGGTTGTTTCGCTCAGATTTTGTTATCTCAGGACGTTAATCTACGGTGGGACCTGGGAACTGGAGAGACCTGCGAGGCGCCTGCGCAACAGGTAAGGCTGGATGGGTCTGAGTATTGCTCAAGTATCGATCTTTAGCAGCGGGCGTGTGCATGGCAAATGCTCTCTGATTTATCGATGTTCTTGAGCAAGGGAATATCTTTGGCCCTGCGTCAGCCTTGGTCACGTTCCTCGGCGCTGGGATGTCGTCGGTTCACTTCACAGGCCCCTGCCCCGATACCTGCTGAGTAAAAATAGCAAAGCCATATTGTGCGCAATGCCCAGGGAAGAGGTGGGAGACGACGGATGCCCGTCAGAGGGTAAAAAACTATGCTAGGCGTTGCCCGTAATCGGATAGTACTACAAAGGGACTCAAAAAAGTCGAAAAGTCCAAACCAAACTGACATATCCATTGGCATGCGCTCTGTTTTCAGGTGTTACAACTTCAAACGTGTAAGACTTAATATAAATTTATTGTGGGACTTAAACAATTTTGAATTTATTGTATGGAAATCAGAATATACTATACCTTTTCCCACTTTGTACTATTAAAGAAACATAACTAAACTCTTTAATTTTCAGTAATTTATATCTTTAAGTTTAGATAGATTGTTGTTGTCTTTCCTTCGACCAATGCCGTGTCCTGAAAATGCCATAATTTCGTATCTCAAACTGTTACACTTAACACTCAATCAACCCTCCATCGATCACATCAATCAAATGGAAACTCCAAACACAAATCGCAACAAAAGCTGGCCAAAGCACTAAAACCAAGTCAACATAACCTCGATATTCCCTTGGCGTTGGCCAGGCTAAATCCAATTTAATACCAGCCCAGCCCCGCAATAAGACAGCTGGAAAAAGCTAGGAACGAACTAATCAAGGACATGGAATGCCCAAGCAGACAAACAAAAACTTGGACATAATAAATTGGAAAAATATAGAAAATTACGATGGAAAATTATGACTTGAGTTGGCGACGCTAACGTGAGCGAAAGTCATTTGTAAAGCGGACCAGACGACGACAGAACTCGCAGGGGAGCTGCTCAATGGTCACTTGCGGTCATTAGGATCTAGCCGACCAGAGGGGTCATCGTATATTAATAATGGACGCGACTTTATATATACAAAACTTCTGGCTGCAGCCAGGGAAATGGCGCGCAATAAAATTGACACGCAAAGTGTAAATTTGTCACCGGGGAAGAGCAAGGTCGGCGACACGGCATTTAAGTGACAAGAAGGTCTTGACAAGTCGAAAAACTGAGATCTAAGGAAAGTACATTATTAAATAAAGCTTATAACAGTAAGCTCACCACATTGATGTATATTTATAACCAAAGACGAAGGAAATTCAGAGATTAAATGCTGGAAATAGACAACCATTAGTGGGAGTTGCTCCCTTCATAGAAATAACCTTCGGTTGCATTTATTTATATACAATGCTGAGAAAAGCTAAGCTTCTCGTTATAATACCCTCAGGTATTACATAAATGTAAATGTTTCACTTCCGGCAGTTCTTGAGTCTAAACTATTTGGTCAAATTAGCTTGAGGAATATTCATGAATCGCCAAAATGCTAATCATATTGCACATTAACTTCCTGCCTATGTGGGCAAACATTTTTTTTTGGTTTTCTGGGCTCCTCGTTATGTGTGTGGAAACTTTCTAACTTGGAGCAGACACTCCTGCGCGAGGCCAGACGCAAACACACACATGCTTAGCTCGGCAAATAGGAAAAACAAAATGGAAGGCCCTTCCCATACCGCTTTCCCATTCCACCTTTGTCCCGGCCATATCCTTTTGCTCTGTCTTTGCACACGAAATGGCAGAAACGGGATTTTCAAACATATCGCATATACAAAATGCAAACATGTCTGGCAAACACAAATCCCATAAATGTTTTGTGCCCCTCTGGAAGGGATGCTGCTGGGGTAGGGGGGTACGGTTAGTGATAAAAACTTGCAAAAAATATTTTCATATGTGAAAATGTGCAAAGTGTAAAAGTTGGTCTCTCTACCGTTCGTGAATCCTGGCTGCTGGCTTCTGGATGCTGGCTCCTGGATGCTGGCTCCTGGCTCCTGGTTAACTCTTCTTGCTTTTGTTGCCTTCTATTCCACTTTGTTTTCAGCTCTGTGTGCTCTGCCCTACTCCGTTCTTAGCCGCTTTTTTCGTCTGCTCTGTTTGCACTATGTGAGCATCAGGTGCTGTGGCAAAAGAAATTACAACAAATCCATTTGTAAAATTGCAAACCGAGACCAAGGCATCTCCTCCGCTTATCCAGTTGCCTTTGATGGCCTTTTCGGTTCTCGTTTTTGGCCAGTCAGCAGCGATGTGTTGTTTTACCGACATGTTGCGATAAATATCGTGTTCTTAGACAAAATATATATATATATTTTCTTAAATAATTATAAAAAACGGAACATCGAGTATCAGCTAGTTGAAATACTCTTTTAAAAGTGAAAACAACTTGCTTTTAAGGGTACAGTCATTGGATTCTTTCCCACCTTTATTTCTAGAGTCCCTTGCTTAGGGGCTGGGCTTTCTCTTCTCTCCTGTAACCAATTACAGGACCTGGTCTACCTCCCAGAGCTCTGGGCCAGCTCTCTCCTGTCATTATGGACTCAAAAATCAAGATGGAAGCCACTCACTCGGTGTCTGTCATTTGCCTGGGCAAACATTCATCTTACTAAAGTTTGCACAGGCTCCTCCAAATCGCACGCCACTCACAAAGCTTTTCGGCGAGAGTGTTCCCTGGGTCCAGGCCCAGGCCCGAGACATTCATCAATTTGTTAGGGGAAGCCTGCAAAAACACAGAAGCAGGCTGCTGCAGCGGCTGCTTAGAAGGAAAAAGGCGAAAAATTGAAACGAACTGCAACTGCAGTCTGCACATAAATTTGGAAGAGTAAGTGCAGCGCCCTTCTGCCCGCCCCAAAGACGCCACTCCAGCTGCCAATCCCTTCCGCCCACTGCTCCTGGTCAGCAAACTACACACGTCAAATTTCAAACAAGTTCGGCTGCCGTAGGACATGCAACAAACGACCAACTCCCAGACACAGGTAGCTGGAAAAACGGAAAAAGTCTGGCTTGGGAGTGAGGTAGCCCGGCAGCCAGACTCATGCGGAATGCAGGAGCAAGAGCACGAGCAGGAGCAGGAGCAGGAACCGGAGACGGAGCAGTGGCACCAGCAGGAGCTGGAGCACCTGGCATCTTTTTTGTCTGCGCTCCAGCCACCTTCTCTTCCACCTTCTATCTTATTTCATGGCAACAGCCAGGGCAACAATGAAAATGGCCAACTGCTGAGGTTGAGGTAAAGGTAAAAGGAATTTCCGAGCTCAGGTTTATGCATAGCTCAGGTGCACGGCAACCGAGGCGCTGCTGATTTACTTCTGCCTTAAATAGCCGCAGGTGAGGTTTAAGGTCAACAGAGTTGCTTGCTTAAAACTATAGTTTCGCCTGTTTGGGGATACGAAGGCTTGCCTGCCTTTAAGAGAAAAATGGAATTATGGGTTTGGCGCCTTGAGCTCGGGGAAAATGAAATGATCTGTATGCCTTTGATGATTAAACGAAAACATAATTACCCTTTAAGATTGTAGTCCGGCAGGTGGAATATCCCGAAGTATTCGCAAATTATGCTAAGGTGTATGTACTTTATTTTAGATATTTCGAAAGTTTGGCCTTCGCCTCAATTGCAACTCAGACGCTCCAAGTTTGCCCATTGGAATTGTTGCTCTCGACAGAAACAATAACTGCAGCTGCTCATCACGCCCAACTTTTACCGTTCGCCGTCGAGTTCCCCAAATCCTCGCCCATCACCTGTGCCACCTGTCGTTGGTGGTAGGCAGCCTTTCTTTTTTTCGACAGGGGCAGAGGCAGAGCTCACGTTAGTTTGGGGAATTGCAAATAAATATTTTAACTGCAGTTGCAGATTATTTTAGTGCTATACGGCAAACTCCACAAGTCGTAACAATGCGGAGCAGCAGCAACTGGGGCAACTCGGCTTAGATTTCTCTGGGGAGCTATGATAAAGTGCGCCCCGTAACGAAGACAAAACGTCCGGCAAACTTTCGGTGTGGCTGGGTAGGAATGGTTCCCGTTCTTTATTCAGGCTCTCACAATTTCAATTCACTCGACTACTTTCTGTTCAGGTTGTAGTTCCTCATATAGATGCCGGCCAGGACCTCTTGGATGCGGCGACGCCGCTTGTCCTGCATGAGGATCGAGACCAGGTGCTTGGGACTCACGCCGCGGTTGCTTTGGCGATCAAGTGCCTCGATCTCCTCCTCGGAGACTAAGTCCTCATCGCGGTCATCGTGGGCCAGTGACGAACTACCGTTAGAGTCGGCGGCCAGCTCTACGGTGCCGTCCTCGGCGGCCTCGACCACATCAGAGTCATCCTCGAACAGGCTGCCGTCAGACAGATCATCCAGACTGAGGCCCTGGAGCAGATCGGCGATCGTGGGCACGAAGGCACTGCGGCGGGCGCTGGTCGAGTTGGTGCTATTGCTGCTGGACGATGGCAGGTAGATGCCCTGCGCATTGTTGGGGTTGATGATGAGGTAAGTGGGTCCGCTGCCGGTAGCGCTCATGTACTCCATTCCTGGGAACTGCGGCGGTGGACGGCTGGGTGGCGGTGGTGGTGGGTAGTACGGGTAGTAGGGATAGTGTGGTCTATGGTGATGGTAGTGCTTGTCCTCATCGTAGTCCGAGTTCTTGCTGGGCTGCTGCACTATGATAATGGGCTGTGAGTTCCTGTGACTCTCCTGGTTGTCGCCGCGCTTAAGGTTCCACAGAAGACGGGGCACGATCTTGGAGAGAGCTGCAAGGATCAGAGGTTAAAGAAGAGTCTCCAAGAGTGGCTAAGACACGCTGGCTTACCACTCTCCTTTCTGGCCTTGCTGCCGGAACTCTGCTCGGCAGCCGCCACAGCGAGGAGGGCTGCAAGGAATACCAAGGTGCTGATGGTTCTCATGGCTTCTGAGGCTGACTATGTTCTAACACTGGAGGAGTAACCCTTTTATACTCGTTCTCCGGCATGACTTGTGCTAAAATTGGCCACTCTTCAGGTGCCAGTTTCATAGATGATCCACTTAGCTGTGGATAAAGTACCGAGTGTATCCATATCGCCTCGTAAATCAGCTTCATACCCAATGCCCTCCACTCCAATTATGGCACTCGTTAAACTCGCTTCCCTTCTCTTGGATTTAGGCCTGTTTAATGATCGATTTAGCACCAAGTTGTCTTCTGCAGATTGCCCTCAGATATGCGTACTTTCAGCTCGGTGCGCTAATTTGTTTAGTTTATAGACTTTGTGATCTGTGCTCTGTACACAGGTCGGCGGACGTTCCGATCGGATAATGTGCAGGCTGGATCATTGGCCTCGGTTTTCAGATTCGCGGGTGAGTGTACATTGAACTTGGGGAGAGTTTAGAAAGACAGCGGCGCTGATTCATCGGGTTTATTTATGGGTTTTCCGAAAGTAAATAAATTTGCTGGAGCTCACCTGGTTCGGAATTTACACTATTTCCGTGCTTTGTGAAATTCAAATTAAATTAAGAAACAAAGACACATGAAAGAGAGCCTGATGAATAATAGTTTTATTCAAATGTATAATAAAATTGTAAGGCATACCCTTGATAGAAACACCAAAAGCCCTTTTGCTCCGCCCCACCGTGCCATTTGATTCCCCAAATAAAATCCATTTCCTGTCTCTCGACTAAGCAAACACAGCAGAACAGTGTACAAATCTCGCACACTAAAAGCAAAATGGCAAAGAGCAAATACTATCTGAACGAATATCCGTTACAAGGCCCAGCAAAAGCGAAAGTAGGGTCGAGGCCGTTCCATCCTGCGCAATCAAAGACCAAAGACAACAATAAGTCCTGGGGAGCACACGAGGTAAATATTATTTAAAAAACCGAAACACGTAGGCGACACAAAGTACAAATCGCACTCAATCAAAATCACCTCAAGACCGCACACAGAGCGAAGCTTCCCAGACGAAATCCCACATTACAGCCGGAGCAGTTCGAGGAGCAGCGCCGTAAGTAAAAATAAATAAGGGGATAGGGAACACTCTCTCCCTCTGGCCTGAGATGGCAACAGGAGCCAAGACCCAAGGACAAGGACTCAACATAGAAAACTGTCATGTACGAGGATTTAGCAGATTTAAATTCTATTTGGCAAAGGCGCCGGGTATGGGTACCAGAAAGTGGAGTGGAGGGAAGGCTAGAATCAATTTTTTTTTTTTTTTGCCCAGCCCGCATGGAAAACCGTTTGGAGAGCTATCATTTAAAACTGACCAATGGCATTTGGAAAGATTTACTTGGTTTTTTCTAAGGCCCAGGCTTCTTGTATGTCGTATTTTATATTTATAAACGAAGAGCAATGTTTTTTCTGTGAAATAATAAATAAAGTTTATTAGAGGGTGCAAATTTTTCAACTGTTTTTGTAAAAGGTTGTTAGTTACATTATGAATAACTTGTGTATCAGAAAGTTGACTCAATTTGCAGTTAACAAAGTAGATGATGCGATATTAATTTCTAATCTAAAATATTATACCCCTTGCTCGAGCATAAATCCGAAGAGCATTCTATCGATTATTAGAAAAGCCCTGAAACCTAATTTGGTTTCGAAAAGTGTTGTGATTCTCTTTAAATTTTGATGTGACTGCAGCTTATGATTGCTTCAAAACTAGAACGCCCATGAAATAGTCTGACTCTGCCCTAGTCCAGCTCACATGTCCGGCCACTTAGGCATTATTAGGTCGCCTTGGCCAGGGCCACTCTGCGTGAGAATATTTATCGATTGCCATGACAATCCAATTCGTTATGCTGAAATCTACGGGCTCCGTCGGGCCATCGTCCACCTGCTCCAAAAGGCGCCAGAGCACAATCTCAGCGGGACAACCGCCCATTTTGGGGGGACAGAGTGCGCAGTTCCCTTTGGCCAAAAACGGGTATAAATGAAAAATCAGCAACAAACGGCCCAGCATAGACTGGGTCCGCCTGGATTCGGGTCCGCACTGGCCCAAATTTGCATCTATTCCGGCATTTTTACGTAAATTGGCAGTTAAGACAGAGATAGACAGCCCTCAGCCCTCAGCTCTCTGGCGCCGGAGGATGAGTGTTTGCAGATACGGAGCAAAACTGGCACGAGGAACTCTCCTCTGCGTTTGGTGCTTAATTAAAGCTGTTGTGGCCTCGGCCAGCATCCAGACGTGTTAATCTACAGGGTGCTTTCGGTGGCCCCATATTGGGATAAGTGAAGGATGCTCGGAATTTGTTGGCAATCTGTTGGGTCTTCTGTGAGGTGACCTGAGCACCAACCAATTGGTGGTTTAAGAGGAGTATCTGGAAGTCTCACTACTTGGGAGTAAGGCTAATCAATATCTTGATGGCCAGGTACACAAAAGTTAATTTTCTTGATTAGTTGACAAGTGCTAGACTAGTATTAAAAATTTAATCGTTATTATATATATTTTATTTTTAAAATTCGTTTACCAATACGCACTTTTGGCTGCCACTGTGTATGTTGGATCGAGAAAGGCATTTCCCTCCATTTCCGGCACGCTGCGAATGCGCTTGTGACGCGTTGCCATTTCACTTCCGGCGCTGGACCGTCATGCTTAGCTTCAGCTACACTGCGGAAAATCGTGCCCAATGGGGCAGAGGGGGAGTTCATCCCCGGCTGACTCCAGCTTCTGGCGGGAAACGAGCTTCGGGTTCTCCCAGTGCAAAGCGGAGTACAGAGCACTCTCGGTGGCCACTCAGCAGCACAAATTTTCGGCAGCACGCTTTTCCGGCTTGCCGACGCAGCAGCATAGCTGGCCATCGCCCACTTTCCACCTCCCAGCGTCGTCCTCAGCCACTCGACCTTCCTTGGAGACGGGGCCTCCGCTCACTCTAGTTCAATAAGGATTTCCGTTTCAATTCGTGCGCAGCGCCTTCGCTGCTGCTGTCCATTTTCATTTATCGAGTTTTTCACTTTGACGACCTTTAGGCCCGAGGCTCAACTTTTTACACTTTTAGCAGCATTTCGCCCGGCTGCCCTCTGTCTCCGGCCCCTTCCTCCTCCGCTCGCATTAGTTATTTATTTTTACTTTTGTGCTGATTTCATGCGATTGCTTTGCGACTTTCGGTGTTGCTCTTTGTGCTTGATTTGCTTTCCAATTTTCAATGTGTCACTTTATGAACACGGCCATTAATCAAAAACAAAAAAGGCAGAGGGAAGGAGCAGGAGACGGCGAAGGAAAGTGAGCCAAGGAATTATTGCTTAAATAAGCGTGTTTTCCCGGGTAATGGACGGACCCTGTGAAATGAACCGACCACAAAAATGGCCTGAGTTGGCATTTCCACTCGCTGGCTGGAAAGTCCTTCGGCGCTGCTCTTATTGATTTTGCCTTCATGCGCCATTTGCGCGGCCACTGTTTTGCATGCTACGCCTCAACACCCATTCAACACGATGTAAGATTTTTCCTTTTTTTTTTGGTTAATAATTTATAGGACACGGCCAAAAAAAGAACAACATTAAAAAACTACAAATCAATGTGGTTGCTTGGTCGGCAAGTGCCGAGTAAATATTTCCCGGAAGAGGAATGGCAGTTGAACTTATGACCGAGAGAAGGACTCTGAAGGAGAAATGTAAAGATTTTCCAATTGATTTCCTTTTAAAAGTGTGTCTATATATTTTTTAAGATTAAGTGTATACTTAATATTTAAAGCTGCTACATAAGATGCCAAATGGATTCCTCAAAGTATTTTTAAAATGTCTTCCAAGCAACACATAACCGAATTTAATGGTTGCTAGTGCTGTACACATCTGGCATTTTTATTGTGTCTTGGGCCTGCATTAGTCGCAATCCTCCAACAGCCACAAAACACTGGCATTACAACTTTTAAATATTTTTAATTCCCCGCACAGGCGGCGCAGTTGAAAGGCCGACCTGGCAAGTGACATAAAATTAAAATCAAGTCTTGTGCGGACAGCTTGTTCTATGGCAGGCAAGACAAAGACCTTACACAGCCAGCTTTTTTGCTTGGAGTGTCAAGTGTCAACACCGAAATGATTAGATAGGCGTTGCCGCTAACAACTGTCCTTGCTCCGGCTCCACAAGGGGCGTAACCGAGGAGGAGGAAACGGCAAAACCCATTAAACGGACCGAGAGGAAGACATTCGCGCTCTGTCAGCGCCAGCTGTGCCTCGGTCGGGCAATATCGCACCTCCACTCTCGCTTAGGTTTATGGCGTAGTTTTGATTTCGAAAATATTATGACGAGTCCTAGAGTTACAGCCCTGCGGAAGACTCATTCGCCTCGAATCGAAATCATTTCGGGCTGCAGTCATCGCCGGTTCGCCTGCCCCTCTCGTTACGTCTTCATCACTCATATTTATGGATTTGTAATTTTAATTTCGACTCGCACTTGGCCTTTCCTAACTAGTCTGGGAACACACTGGCAGCTCCACCCACTCGGCGGAGCAGGTTTCTGGCATGTCGAGGGAGGAGTCCACACTGGAGAATAAATGAACTGAAACTGAAACTGAAAAATATATATATTTAAAATGTTGAAAGAATATATTCTAATATAATACTAAGAAGAACGATTTGTTCTTAAAAATATTTGGAATTTGTGTTTCTCAAATAAGTCTTTTTGATATGGTTTTATGATTTTATAGATTTTTTTCTCAGTGCCGGGACATGTGCCCCTCTAGTTGCGTGCCTCTGCGGGGGCGTGGTGCTAGCTGTGAGCTGTGAGCTCTACGCCCCTCTGGGCCATCTTGACAGCTCTTCGAAGCCATCCGGCGAATCGTTTGCATTTACGACTGCTGGGGGCAAAGGTTTTCGCCTTTTACGACTCTTTCCATCGGCTGCGCGGGAATTGTGCATTTGGCCAATGCCTTCAGATGTCTAGAGAATGGGAATAGCTCTGGGGGGAAAGTTGGCCAACAAGTTTGTGTCGTTGTGTAACCATTTTTTAATTCTTCTCACAAATCATATCGAAAATTAGGAGTTTGGGAATAATATATTTAAACTTGATTTTGATTAGACTTTATGGAATAATCAATTTGATTCATCGACGTTAAACAGGAGAGAAAAGTCAAGAGATGTCTCATACAGTTTTTTTGCTAACTCCACTGTGCAAAAGATACCTTGTGTCAGTAGTAGATAGTTAGATATGGTATCTACTGAAGGGTACCAACTATAGATAGATATAATATTTGTAATTTTATTGTAATTTTCCTTAAAAAATCCAGTAAAAACCTTTAACTTTTTCTGATTAATCTGAGAGCACGGGCACAAGCTTAGTAGTCATTTAATATATATTTTATTTAATTGTTTGGATAACTACCCCTTAAATCTTAGAGTGTAACCAAAATATGCAATCTGAAAGTGCAAATTGTTGTATTGCAAATTTCTTGCAACGCGCATGCGCTTTTCCTGTCGTGCTTTTTCCCCCTTTTTTTTTAATTGTAAGCCGGGAGACCCAAAACTAAAAATCTGCCAGGTCGCGAAGGTCGTGGCAAGACCAAGGCAAACAAAAATAAAGAATTGGTCAAAGTCCCGGCAATAGCGAATATTTATAACACCTCCGATTTGCTTCTCTTCTCCCTCCCAACCACAATTCCCGGCCTGACCGCCTGCATTTCCGCTCTTTGTTGTTCCTGCCGCCGCGTCTGGGCGACTTGGCTAAGGTTAAGGTTGCAGACTTTGAAAATAAATGCGCAGAAATTACGCTGCAATTATGCGGCGTCGGAGACGTGGAAAAATTATGGCTCTGGGAATCTTTCGTTTGGCTAAGCGAAAGTTGCCCCGCCACACGGGCAAACCAACCCGCGCGACATATAGTTTATGGCTGTGTAAATGGCGAAGCTAAAAAGCTGGGGCCCTAAGAATCATGGCCAGAAAAAGAGCCTTGTATATGTAATTCAGTGGAAAATTAAAAAATTACAGTTGGCAAGTGAGTAAAGAGAAATGTAATGAATTTGTTTGATATGTGAATGTGGATTGTGATATTAGCCTATTAAGCTAGGACTAGGGTTATTGCTGATGTTCATATCTTAAAGAAGTGTCTTGAAAAATATGCTTAAAAACAAAATTAAGCAAGAAGTAATATACCAAATTATTTAATTAAGTCTTTAATATTACTATCCACCGAGAACTTCATAATTTTCCAATCTCTTAACATCCCAACTCTGTTTTATTCCAATTACTTTCGCCATCATTTGATCTCCAAAAACTGCCGACCATTGTTGGTGTTGTCATGGCATGGCTGTTGCTGTTCCCTGTTGCTGGTGTTGCTAGTGTTGCCGCCACCAGCTGAGTCACTAAAAAGTTGCATTTTATTTGCTCTTCAAGACACGACGCCAAAATTATTGCACTCTCCCTCTGGCCCTGCCCCCGCGATATACCCTTTCTCCGTTTCCATTGCATTTGGCTTTCTTCTTTTTTGCTGCGCTGGTGCTGTGTCGCTGGCATTTAATTGCCACATGCAACACATGTTGCCGACGTCGCCGACGACTACGACAACAACACCAACGCTTGCAAAAAAAGGACAGCTTGGAAAAATTAATAGAAAAACATTTTTTAAACCATTTTTTAATTTCGGCTTTGTGGGCGTCGGACAACGGCACTGATAACAACAGCATACCATAAAGACCCCAAAAAGTGGCGGCAGGCGGAGCAGAGACGAAGCCATTTTTTATTTCTCTTCATGGTAATTGTGGTTAATGTTATGGATATTTTATGTGGGAAATAAGTAGAGCCAGACACTTTTGCGAAAGAGACGAGGAGAGTGGGTAAAATGTTGGATGATGGGAATTTAAATGGAATTTGTGGTGGAAAATGAGATTCTCATTTCGGGAAAAATGGTAGTGTCTCTAAAAACTGTGATGGATAATATTGAGGAACTATTTTAGGTTGGACGGGTAGCGATATCTTTACTATTGGATATTTGGTAGTAATTTATCATATATATAATATAAATTTCTCTATTCACAATGCGATAACCCATGTACCGATTCCTTCTCGATGTACGCACATCCCTCCATCATAAGCCCATCTGCATTTGAATGTTTCAAGCCGCCGGGCCGATCATTTGCCACTCCACCTCGCAACTGGGCTGGCTCTTGCCTCATTGCAGTTGCGGCCGTGGGGAAGCGGGGCACAGAAGTGGGCAGTTGCCGCGAAAAGACCTGCCTGTGGCCATAAAAACTACTAGACTGCTCCAAACTCCGCTCCACTCTCTGTGTGCTCAAGTGGCGGGCGGGCGGGATTGTTGCCATAAAATTGTATGCCTTTATTTTTGGCGACTTTGCCGGCGACAACAGCAACGGCAGCGGCAAACAACTAGCAACAACCAGTCGCCAGCCACTGAAATGCGGCACATTTGCAACTTTGCTGCCACTTCCACTGTCAAGTTGGCGTAAAATTTTTCATTTCGCATATGAAAGGAAGTGTGGGCGCCAGATCCCCCAGATGCCCCTGCTCCCTTTATCGCTCTGTCGTTTGCCTTTCTTCTGCTCTTTTCTTTTCACATTTTATTAATTGCTCGAGTGAATTTTCGCGTCGGCAAAATGCCTGTGAACAGTTTTCATTTTGTTTGCTGGAGCCTTTTGATCTTTTCCTCTTGAGACACTTTAAGCAGATGAAAACTATCAGACGTCGAACTTTGGCCACAGCAGATGTCAGCACAAACGACGACACATCAGCGAAGAAGAAATCTGATGGGCTTTTCAATGATTTAAGCGTTAGAACTTTAATTGAGGGAAATTATGTAAGCAAGTAAAATAGAATTTTAGCAAATATCCAAAGACCTTGTTCCTTAAAAAAAAAAAATATTTAATAAACTTGATGTTGGTCTTAGTTGAAAGATTGAATAAATTGCATTTATTGTCAGTCGGTTTTTAATAAAATTACTACGTACTCAAGTTTGCAAGCAACATTTCTCTTTAATTTATTTTATGAAATAAAGTAAATGTAAGCCACAATGCAAATAGCAAAGTTTTGATAAATATTTTCTTAAATTTATGAACTCCAACTGTATGGTACTCACTCTATATTGGTAGTTCTCTGTCCGAGAAACTTTTGGCAACTAGTTTTTTGGATGCTTTAAGTTTGCCACTATTAAACACAGGCACGGCTGCCGCATTTCCGGCTGCCGGAGGAGGGGCCTAGACCCCCTAGACCCCCCTTCTGCCGGCCGGTTGTGCGCGGCACATTCGTTCAGTTTTTCGCGCTGTTTATATTTTTGTATTTTGACACGTTTTGGCATCGCGCCGAGGGATCCGCTGGGGGACGGCGGAGTTTAGGTCCTCGGTTTTTGTGTGTGTGTGTGTGTGTGTGCGTCTGACATTTTACATAAATTTGTGCTTGCTCAGCTCTGGAAATCGTGCCGGGGAGACAGGCGGCCGCCCTGGGGTCTCCAGTCCCATGACTTGCTGTCATGTGACAAAAACGCGACAGTTTGCAAGGTCACGTCACGTTAATTTGCTGACAATGATGTATTTAGGGGTGGATGGCAGCTCCTCGCTCTCCCAGGACCGATCCCGTTCTTAAAGCCGCGCCAATTAAGCGAGTTTTCTGAAAACCCTCCGCTAACCCCCTGTTAAATTTCCCCGATTTCTCACCATGTCTTTCCCCCACATTTCATTGCAGGGAAGGAGCAACAAAATGTAGAAAAGCCTGTGAAGATTAGCAACGTGCGAAGAAACGCGAAGAGACGAGAATAACGCGAAATCAAAATGCCGGCAATGAAATTACAACAATTGAATTCAATTCATTCACGACCCGCCAGGCGGCGGAACTGCCCCTCTGATTGCCCGGGAACAATTGAAGGACCCTACGGCCTCTGGCATTCGGCAACAAATTATTTAAAAAGTTATTGCCACATTAAGCGTCATGGTGTTAATAACAGTAAAGCTTTATGCTGGCTGACACTGGCTTTGATTTTATTGGCCGACCAGAGCGGGCTGGGAGTGGCCTTCGGAACGGCGGGAGCAGCCGCTGCCGGAGTCGGAGCTGGAGCTGGAGGACTAAGCCCTAGCCCGCCGGGAGGCGCGTCACAATTGGAAATCGGTAAGTAGTAGTGGTAGGCTTATATTTTATTGGCTTTACATTTATTAAACTGGTTAGTAAACTTTAAATTTAAGGCTCTAATTTAAGCCACACTTGAACCCTTAAAGCTTATTTTTTCACCAATCTTTTATGGGATTTTATTTATGAATTACTGCCTTTTATTTATATAATTTAAGCCTTTTGTACATTTAGAATTCATTTAACGATGTAAACATTTTTGAATACATTCAAAAAAAGACAACAAATGCCCAAAAAAAGTCCCTATTCCATCCTCAACCCCTGATATCAATGAGAAATATTCCATATGTTTACTTCCCATGAAGTGAAATTTATGCATTTTTATTTCGACGAAAAGGTACAAAGAAATATTGTGGAAAATATTTAAATGGGCACGTAACAAAGCCAATTGCCAATGAAAAAGAATTTGAAACCGAATTTTATATCGGCCATGCATGGGTGGAGCCCGGGACCGAGCTACCCCACTTAATGCTTCACCGCACACTTGATGCAACAGTTCGGGTATTGACTGGCTGAGTAGAGCCAGGGGTATATCCAGGAGTACAAGCAGGAGCAGGAGACGTGCACTTCATTTCGGAGCGCACTAAATAGTCAGAGGCACAGTGGGATTTGCATTTGCATTCAGCAATCAACATTGAAATCAATCAACCGCAAAGGAAGAGCCCGCTCGACCTGTTCGGCTGCTCAAGTATTTACCAATAACACAGAACCGTAACTAATAAATGCTGGCCCGGAGACCGGAGACTAGAGACCGGAGACCCGGCACGCACTCGACCACAACCAATTACGGGAAATTTACGCAAAACGCCAAGGATCCGTCGACTCCTATTCCGACTGGCCCGGCGATGTCATTAATAAACATGAGGTTGGGCATAAGCCTGTAGTGGCACGGGATGTGCCGGGATAAACGGTGGACGATGGGTGGTGGTGTGGTCAGATGGAGATGGATGCCAAATCGAAGCTGCTCAGCGGCGCTTTTGATAGATGACTGCGTCTTTGGTCGCTCGGACACAGCCGTCTCCCTTTGACTTCAGCTCCAACTGGCGCTGGGCCTCCGCCGCCGCTCATTACCATTGCTGATGGCCGCGTGTGTGGTCGGTCGCGTCCATCACAGCTGGCCGCTCTGAGGAGGAGTTGTTGCCTTGTTGTTATTTCATTCCCGTCGGCCGGGTATAACAAATTATCTTGTTGCTGTGAGCCGCTGCCTCGTTAGCCGGCAGCTTGTTTTCAGCAATCGAGAGATGGCAGCTATATTTCCCAGGGCCGATATCGAGATGCTCTTGGTATATTTTATTCCATATATTAGGAATAGTTTTTAGTCGATTTTAAACCCTTAGCGATTCCTATTCTCAGGGTAAACCAAAGGTAATGAGGAGCACGCACAACTTGTACATATTGTGCTAGAAAAGTACATACCTCACATGTTTTACACATTTTATATTCAAAATCTCGATTATAACTCCAGTCAACCGCATTTTTCATCCCATCATCACATCTATAAAAAAGCAGCACAGAGCTCCCTTTGACAGAGCTCTTAACAAAGCTAATAAACTCTCCTTTGAAGACCGAGAGTGTGCAAAACCAGGCCAGGTCGGTAGCAGGAAATGAATGAAGCCGAACGAAACCCATGTTGATGTTGGTCGTTCCGTCCGTCTGTCTGTCTTATGGTTCAGCTGTTTATTCCAATATGCGAATCTGGATCTGGACCGGAGTCTGTGCTCGCATTCATTTAAATGCGTAAATATCTGCATGCGTCTGCCATATTTTATTTGACCGTAAGCGCGTTGAAATGTTGTTCGAGTTGCTCTGCAGCCTGGGTCCACAATCTGTATTTAAATTGATAATGTTAAAGCGCACTCCGTTTAAATGGTCGCATAAATCGTCTGAAATATGCGTTGAAAAGTGGCCAACAGATCAGGTAAGCCATTCCTGCCCGCACACGGCACCGCACCGCACCGCCAGCCAGCCCTGGTCAGCATGATAAATGTGCGACAGTTAACAATCGGAGGTCAAGTGGTGTCTGGCCATCTTCACCAAGCGACGCCGATCTGACTGGGAAGCACACGCATTTCTGGGGAGAGGAGGTAGTGTGGATGGAGAGGAGTCAGATGCCATGCAGGTGGAATGCGTCTCTAATAAGATACATACTTGATAATCCAATTCGTATGAATATATCTTATAGGGGAATTTCAATCTGCTTGGCCAAAGATAGTTATTAAAACGCTGTAAAAGCTACAAAACAGTTTAATGTTTCGATGAGAAACTGGTTACCGTTCAACCAAATGGCATTTTATCGGTCCACACCACTAATCCCAGCAGTTAGCTAGTCGCAATCCATGTAAATTCATTTCATTTTCGACCGCCAGCCAATTTCCAAGCTAATTGCATGGACTATGCATCGATTTGCACAGTGCTCGTGCGTGGTTTACTTTTACTTTCCAGCACCCGAAAAATATCACGGCCGTTGACAAGTGAGACCCACACACGGACCCCCTTTATTTCCTTCTATTTTGTTTTTTTTTTTGTGGATGGAAAACCTGATATGGAATGCTATTACATGCTGTCTTGGCCAAAACAGTGGCCGACACGATAAACTAAACACCGAACGGCAAACTGCGGTAATGCATGTAATTTGGCCGCGGCTCGGAGGCCGTATCCGCGGTGCCAGAAAATCTCCATTTAAAGTGGCGGCTGCAGCAGCTCTCGGTGGCAATCAAAAGTAAATGCGACACTAAACTGCAGCTCCTGGACCGGAGGGGGCAATCTACTACCAGTATTTAGGTGAAATTCAGTCAACTTGTGGGGTAGAGCATAAAACCAGCTCAGAGCAGGCGTATCGATGGGCATTAAGATTGCAATATAAGCAAACCAATTATTTACGACCTTTTCAGAAAGCCTAGTTCATATAACTCTCGGTGTATCAGGGCTATAAACCATTAAAAACATTAGGCTTTTCTTGGCACTATTGGTTTTTTTTTGCAGCGGTCTATCTATAAATTTTGGCCGCAGGCTCTCGGCTTTGGCCCCAGGTATGCCTCTTGGGTGCAGCTCGGCCAGATGTGCAGATGTATTATAGCTGCAGTGTTGATCGCCGAATGGCGATAAGATTTTCCACGATCCAGCTAAAATAATAGCTTGGCACCCACCGAACGCCGAAGTGCTGCACATTTTGCATGGCCCGGCGATAAATTAAAAAGCCCCTGTCCACGCTTGATAACTCGGCGACGATTAGGGGCCCCCAGACCCGGTCCAGTCCCGGCCCAGACCCGTCCCCTCGACTGGACCCCGAGACATCGAAAATGTCTGTATCTCGGCCTCCTCCTTTGTTCCGGGCGTCGCCGGGCACAGACATGTGTTTGCGCCGATAGAGCGTAAAAGTGAATGCTCGCAATGTGGTGACATGCATTTAAGATGCTTTGGCTGTAAATTATGTTAATTTATTACCATATCTGACCGGAATCAGAGTCCAACATGGATGCATTACAAGTGGGATTTTTCAGCGTCACAAGAAGTGTTTGTAAACATATATCATTTCAACATAAACATTATACCATAAAGATTTGATGCAAGAATAAATTTAAGGAGCTGCACTTGGGTATTTTGGGACACTTTGTTCCAAATTAAGCAATGATAATGTTTAAAAATAGAAAACAGAATTTTTAGCAAAGTTTTCGCTCCCAAATCATTAATTTTGTATTGTTTATGTAACAATTTAAATTTTGATAATTATAATTTTAATTTGTTCCGCCTGTAATCTAACACACTCCCTCTTCCAACTTCCTAGTGGCAAATGATAGCTCGAGGCTCAGTATCGGTGGCTAATGGAGCATGTTTGATGTTTGTCACGTCGGCGTAAATTTTCCACAGATCATTCGCTGGAGGGAGAGGCAGCTACGGGTCAGCTACGATACTTTTTAATTGCATCCGTGAGATACTCGTGCTTTTTACCGCAATTGAAAGCCAATTAAAATGCGTGCGTAATTTGTTTACACTGTTCTCGAGCCCCCCTCGGCTTCAGCTTACTTTCAGCCCCAACGAACCGTGGCCAAAAGTTCCGTTTGGCGAGTGGGCGGCATACGGAAAAGACTGGTGGGGAAAAAGGAGGAGAGCGTCCTGGCCATAAAAGACGCCTTGTTGCTTTTGTTGTTTATGAGCGCCAGCAGATACGCGTCATTAAGCGCGTTTCTGGCGCGTTTTGCTTGCTATTTCCCCGCTGAAACGGTCGCTGGAAAAGTTTTCCCACTGCCTGGGTTTCAGAGAGTGAAGAATGTTGAATACTCTGTAAAGCAGATCTAGAAGATTTGTGCCATGACAATTTGTTTAAGAATAATTCAAGGGGTTAATATTAGTTTAAGTATCTTTTGTTAGACTTCAAAATTTAAATAAGATCCCAACCTGTGCTGCAAAGCAATATCTATGAGGCAAGGATTTAGTTCTGGATGGAACAGATACATAGTCTAATCTCAGAAAATCAACACTATGTGAAAGCTCAATTTTCCGTATCCGAGTGGTTAGAGCTCAATTAAGTGGCTTAATCCCGTGGGAAATGATTCTGCTCCACGTAGCTTCTCCCGCTGTGTCTGCATATGAAAGTGTATCCCGATTGTTTGTTAGCAATTTCCCTGGCTTATGCTTCGCACACACATATAGCTCATGCGCCCCGTTGGCCGTGTCCTCGTGCCCGTCCCGCACCAACCAACACCGCCCCGCCCCGACCCTTTCGCCCTGCATTGAACTGTAAAATTGTGCAATTTTCAATTTCATAAAGTTTCGCGGTGCTCTCCTTTGTTTGTGTTGCCTTACACGCCCAGCCAAAGAGGGAACTTTGAATTATGATTATCGCACACACACGCCACTGCAGTGGACAGAAGTGGAGGCGAGTGCGGCGGGGTGGAGCACTGCGAACGACCAGGCCACGCACTCAAGTGCAGTTAATTAAATTTTGTGCAATTTATTCTGCGCAAAACTTTGCCAGCAGCAACAATCGGAGTTGCCCCGCCGTGCGTTGTTTACTTTTCACTTTGTACTTCTGCATTTCGCCGTCAAAGTTTCGCAAAATGGTTGTGCTTCCCTGGGCCACCGGAGCGATGCTTTCCCCCCCCAGCCGCATTTGTTTATTCGGCCAAATATAACATGCTCAAAGCCACCGAGCATTCTCCAGGCCATCGCCTTTGATTTGGGCGGGTAATCAGCATCCCGTTCTCCAGAGACGATGCTCCATTCCCATAATTGAATAGCGAGAAACCATCACGGGATCATCGATCAATTTCCCAATACCACTGCTTTTGCTGTTAGTTTTTCCCTCATTTACTGCTCAGTTTCTTTTTCAATAATTAAAACTAATTTATGGGCATCAATATGTCATGGGCGTAATGTAAATATGGGGGTTCCCCGGCGGGGCTCCACTGTTGAGTGATTGCAACAATTTACTTTCAAAGTTGTAGCTGTCTGTACTTAATTAAGCAATTGCGTTTTGCCAAAATGAGTTTTCAGAACTGTGGAAAGAATGTCTAGGGAAAAGCTAGAGGAGCTGACCTTTAGGGGGCCAGTGGGAGGTGCCTAGCACATAAATATTAGCAAAGACACTTTGTCAAAGGGAAGACACTTAGTTAGTCATCGCTAATGTATAATATTTTTGTGTTAATTATAAACTGTTTCATATAAGTTAGTCTTTAGACCCTGTGTAATCGTTTTTTGTACTCAGAAGTAGTTTCTTCTCCCCAAACAACTTGATTATTCGCTTTCCGAGATCCATTGCAAGCTTTTCAAAGCAGAATTTCTTGAGCAGCTCTCGCACACTCGAGGCCTTTTCTGGAGCCCAAGTCTTGAGTCCTCAAGATCTTCGATGACCCGAGAGATGAAACTGCTAGAAGGGTCGTTGCGAGTATCCATATCTGCAGATGGCGCGATTGGGCTTTCAAGGGCCAGTCAGCCAGCCAGGCAGCCTTTCTGGGGAGCGGGGCCGGGCCTGACCTTTGTCTAGTTTTCCTTGGCGGTGCCCGAGTGGCTTTGACTTATGGTGCTTAAGCACTGACTGATTGCATCTAATTATTCACTGAATGATAATATTCTTGATATTTTGTGGAAGCGCAAGCGGCGGGGGGATGATGATGATGATGACGGCTGTGTCTCAACGACCTATTCATGACCCTTTCGCGGTCCCTTGGGGGCCGGAGCCCATCATTCTTCGAGTGGTGGTGGGAAGAGTGGAGATGATAATTGCGCTTTTCATGCGTTCTCACAGATTGATGGCGAATGGAAATTGAGTTGCTGAAACGATAGCAGAATGTATCTGCTTTCCCATTTGCTTCGCTTGTCCGGCCGCGTCTTTAATTAATTTATGAATTCGGTTGGACAGGTTAAGAGGAGTCTTTTTTGATTTGATTTCCGATTTGATTTGATTTTCCATTGTTTTCTTCGCTCGAATATCTCAGCCAAATGAGGGGTGATTTCTCATCTTGAAACTTAGTCTTACTTACAGAGATTCGGTTGCATCATTTAACAAATGTGTTTTGTCATTTTAGGAACCTGCAAGCAGCCCCTGGGCATGGAGTCCGGCGCCATTGCGGACTTCCAGATAACGGCTAGTTCGGCCCACGACATGGGGAATGTGGGTCCACAGCATGCCAGGTAAGTGTCAGAGACAGGGGGGCTTCAATTAACCCAGTTTCTGTGATTAGAAGTTCGTTGACTTGAAGCCATCGACCAAGTGAACTTCCTCATTCCGGTTTAAGCTCTGAAACACACAACACCAGAAATCATCGCACACACACGTGTCACCCGATGTCGACTGGAAATGATAAACAGCAATCATCCATTAAAATTTGACTCATAATATGACGAATATGAATACGCCAGTGTGCGCTCTTACCACATACACATAAGACATTCCCTTGTTTCCTGCGTGTACATGGAAATTATTATTATGAATTATTTTATGGCGTGTTTAAATGCCTTTATGTCATTTGCGTCCGAAAAGAAACAGAAACAAGCCGAACACACAAATGACATAAATTAAAGCACAACAACGACAATCATTCGGGCAACAACATGTGCAAACATTTTACATCCACATCGAGAATAATGATACAACTTATGGCCACATTATACTTTGCTGACGTTTATTTGCTCGCCACGACGAGCGGGAAAGGAGTCTTTTCCTGATTTATCTTCATCCGTGAAAAGGGGAAAAATTCCCTGGTAATTATTTAGAAAGTCAAGGGCTGACCAGGCACACACCAGATCATGAATATATAATGCATACTGTCGTACGCTCCGTCATAAACTCATCCCACACACACAAGCACACATATAAACATTTTTTATGAGGCACTTAAATAATTTCCAGAATGTCCCTCAGCCGCAGAATATTGTCAAAAACAAACTCAGCAAAGCAAAGCAAACAACATTGGCAAAGTTTTTCTTTTATATTTCGTTAGCCGGAAACAAAACAAGCCATAAAATAGAACTTTTGGGACAATATTTGAGGGTAATATGTATGCGATAAAAATTTAAATGATGCTTTGGCCTAACGTTGTGGCGAAAGAAGTTTGGCAAATACTACCTAGGATTTCTAGTGAGGTTTTCACAATTATATTAAGACAATGTTTATTTTTTTTTGTAATTTTAATAATGTTTTTGATTTCTGAAGGACTCCTCATAATTTTTAGATCGCAGAGAACTCCACCAGATTTATAAACATTTTTTCAATGTTTATACAAATCTTTCAAACTTCAGGCCTTCTCAGCCAGCAATCAAATATAGAACTTCGAATGAAAGATTTGCAAATCAGCCAAAGAGAAGACTATTTTAAAATTGGCTCCAAAGCAGCATGAAATCAGTAAACAATGCGGGACCACTTCCTAGAAGTCAATCGGAGAGTCACGATTTTTGAGTTACACATCTTTCAAACATATATGTTCCATTCCATAATGGTTCCCCGAATACCCTCATTTAGATCGAACCGAAAGTAGAGCAGAGGGAGTGGGGGACTCCCCTAATAATATACAAAACAACACCAGACAACGGAAGGAAAATGCGAGCGCACGCCAGAAGCGGCCCCAGCAAAATAAGTATACGACCGGAGTAACAGAAATATTGATTATAATGTCAATATCGGCTCCGGGGCACTAGGAGGGGAGTGGAGGGGAGAGCAGGGAAGAAAGGGAAAGGGAAAGACCTCGCATAAAAATAAAAGAAAAGCAATAAAATTATGCAAAGTCAACAGAAAAGCGACCAGCGACAGGCAAACGACAGGCAGGCGACCACGGTGCCGTGGTACGTGTTGACTGCCCCAACTGCTCCACGAACCCCCCTTCCTATATAACCCAGTCCCCCCTCTCAGCCACACACACTCTCTCATACACTCGCACACACTCAAAGGGACAGCCGCTCCGGTGCGCAAAACAAATGTTTGGTAGTAAAAATGTCACACATGGCGTTTTGCATGTGGCGCCCTCTGCCGGCAAAAGATTGCGGTGCGGTGCGATCCGAGTAACGGGAATGTGCGTGCCCGAGCCTAATGATGGCCCCACACCCGCATCCGCATCCGCTCCCGCATCCCTTCGCTCCCATCGATGAGGTGGGCTTTACGTTAAACATGCGCCAAAGTCATATGAATTTTATTACAAATGAAAAAGGTTGCTTCACATGAGAGACACAGGGACAGCGACAGGGACAGCAGTTGGGGAAAATTCACTCTCTCCTCGGCATGATAAATGAAAAAGTTCGCGGCGGGGAATATTCAAGGGGTTAAAGTTGGTTTTTAAGTTCCGCTTGTGCAAGATTTATAGCGTGCCTTCGGCCCACTTGGCAGCACTACAAGAGTCGATGAAACTTATTACCTTGGTAGCCTACTTTCAGGGCCTCGGATTGGGGAAACAAAAGCGAAACTAAAGCCAGAGTGCAAATTATGCCATCGGCATTCTTTATGAGCCTTACGTGACCAAAAACTCTTTGCCTATTTTCGTTTCACTTCTTCCACTTAGCCCCCGCGCGCGTATTCTACGACTATAAAGCTATATCCAGCGATATTCGGCTCTATTTTTTTCATTTTTCCAGGTGGGAAATGACAATGTGCGGGATTCATTGCGTTCGGGCGAGCATGAGAAGTCCATATTCATGCGTGAATTTTGATGGATGTCTCCTAATGAAAATATGCGACTCACTCTGTCGCTCACTCCCCCATGGCAGGCAGGCATTTTTGATCGCTGAGTTATTTTCGACAGGCATCACGGACCCTACGCTGCCAGTGCCTAAATGTAGGCTACACATAAATTTTCCCTGCCAGTTGCGAACTACATACATTCAACAAAGTGTGTATATGTATGGGAAGTGCAAGCTGCTGTTGTTTGGCAGTAGCCGGGGATAATTGAAGCAATTTGGGCAAAGTCGGTGGCGCGGAAATATGTTCCCTAAAACTTGACGGCTTCTAAAAAAGGGGAAACACTTATTGATGTTTGCTTTTTCACATTCTACTTTAGGGAAGAGCAATGCCTTGGCCAATCAGCTATAGTAGTTTTTGAATTATATAACCCTATGGGTCTCCCTCACTGTTAAATATATACATAAGCAACCTTTTTAAAGCATTTATATCTATCAGTGACTTTATTTATTTACTTAGTCCAAATAATAATCGATTTTCAGCTAAGAAAAAGTCTAGAAAAAGAAACAAACTCCATTCAATCTGTACTGGTCTGCATTTTCGCTTCTCCGCAAATCGAATATTCCCTTGAACTCCACTGGCAGACAAACTCCAACTTGAGCCGACATTAACATTTGGTCGCATTCACATTGACTTTGACTCTCGACGTGATTCTGATTCTGAGGTGACACCCCCAACCCTGGCTGTCCCCGAACTGATTGCAAATCGTTGTAAGTTTCTGTGGAGGAAAGTTTCCTTTTGCTTTTGTGGTTTTGTGCGTTGGCGCATATGAAATGCAGCTTTCGAGTTCTCACAGCTTTCCGGCAAAAACTTGAATCGAGAATGCAATGATTTTTGATTTCACACTGTCATTACGGGAATGGGAAAACAATAGAAGGGTCTGGCTGGGGTATGGCCTTCTCCGAGCTCCGTCAGTTCTTTGATTTTCCCTTAACGGTACATAAACCAAATGGGTCAATAACTTGCTGCTTATTGCATGCTAAGCTGCCATCACATTATACGTACTTTTTCCTTTTCAACTGCTTTCCCAAAACCCCCGTTTCTCCGATACGTATTTCAATCAGTTGCAGACTTGTAAAGTTGCTTTGCTTTTCTTTTTCCCCAATTTCCTCCCGTTGGCTCGCTAATTTCTTTGGCGTTTCTCCCATACGCCAGACTACAGAAGTTTGCTTAATGGACTTATAAGTCATTTAACTTTATTAATCAGTGCCGCTCCACCGAAGCCTGGTAGCAGGTGAGATTAAACTTTGAGGGTCAACATCTTGAGGGCATTATTCGACAGTGGATTCCATTAGAAGTGGGATAACTTTTATAAATGATATAAACTGATATACACTATACAACATTTGTAAATGAAATATTCTGTAAAATATTTATTTATACTTGTTTTAACATTTACTCAGCTAATTTCACAGATACTTTCCTTAGTAATCGAACTATTGAACTATTCACGAACTTTAAACAAAACACCCAAAGGCAGAAAGTCCGCATGTAATGGTACTCCAATCAGCGGGGAGTCCGGTCAAACAGAGCTTTTGCAACTCCTCCAATTAGTGAACCGCAAACCATTTCCTTGTTCTCGAGGTATATGTTAGTTCCGCCTCTGAACTCTATACACCTTTCGGATCGAATCCTTTGTGATGGTCCCTCAACGCCCAGAAAGCCCCACCTCTAATTGCCGCATTAGGCGCTGCATTTCCTCCCTGCCAAAGTCAGCCATGTTGCCAGGCCACAACAACTGGGACTGGCACACCCCCAAACGCACATACATACACACACCCAACCCAAACCCTCGCCACTTATCAAATTCACCTTCCATTGTTGCTCACTCGTCGGCGGCTGTCGCTCACTTAGTCGCTTTTGGGGGGCTCTCGCCTGTCAGTGGCATTGATTTTCGCTTTCGGCATAGTCTGCTCTTAGGCCCCCGCCCAATCCCAGTCCCAATCCCGGGCAGGACCCGCAGCTCCTGCGTGGACCTAGCACTGATTGCGATGTGCTGCCAGCTGGCTGCCAGCTTCGGCCACCGAGGCAATCGCTGTTAACGCGTTTTCCATTTTATTGCATTAATGTTTGATTTGGTTTTTCGCCTTTTCCCAGCTACCCTCGGTGCTTAATGTCGGCCCGATTGAATTGATTGCTGCGTGTTGTCTGTGCGTCCCTGGGTTAGAGGTGGCAGCGTGCCAGTCACGAGCCCAATAAATGCTTCACTCCGGCCATTCGTCAATCGAAAAGTTGACTTTTGTCGATGTAAGAAGATTACCTATTGCTTTCATCACTAGTATGTGTTGAATTTATACAGACTATGAGTAAAGATATTATAATTTAATGTCACGTTAATGGAAGTTACCAAGAAAAGCATCGGCACTAGAGTAAACTAATTGACAATTGAAAAATACTTGTTAATAATAAGTTATATAATAACCATACAAAATAAGGTAATTAACTTATCTGTAAATTGAATACTTAA